TTGTATTGTTATGTCCCATATTGCCCATCTCCTTTTTTCTTAATATTTTGTGCTGCTAGATGGAAAATGCATGAAAAATGAGGCTTTGAGCCTTAACTAGGATTTCTTAATACTGCCACAGTACAAAAAATATCATTGCTATGTGGTCTTGCTACAAAAGGCATTCACAAAGGGCGTATGTATTGCAATCCATGCTTGATTATCAGAGAAGTTCACGTGTACCCAACTCTAATAGTAATGTAAAGCCAAAAAAGTTAAGTTAACTTCCCATCTTTTTAGAATGTTGGAAAATACCTGAATGTGTCATCACAAAATGAAGAAACAAATTTTTCTTTCTGGTTATTTTCTCAAATTGTTGTCTTCTCAGAAGCTGTGTATGACAGCCTTGTCGTGGCTTGAAGTTGTGATAATGTCAGTTTCCTGTTCAAACAGCTCTTCTAGCTTTGCCCACTCACTAAAATAGTGATTTGACTTCCATTAAACACGGTATGTGGGTACTCGGACTAAAGAACAAAGTGCTTAAAAACTTAGTCACTGTGTGATCTGTATGCCAAAATAGTGTTGTAAGGGAAAGCACTGAAAAATGAGCCACGTATGCTCTTGCATTGAAGTACTATCAGGGGGTTACAATTAGTATCATCTCCAAGAGCTGTTTTGGTGTGTTAATAGGTGAGCATTGTTTCTGTCAGTAACTTAGGCAAAAGTTTGCTGCACTTGTTCAGTAGCTACAGGAGCTTTTCTAATTAGAGCCTCAGCGTGCTGATGTACACAATTCTGCGTCAGTTTTAAGCGCCTGAAAAAAAATGACCGAGATGGTGAGGACGGTAACGAAGCAGCTTAAGGTAAATGCATTTCAATCGTTACCCTGGCAGACAAAATCAGGCTCTCCTGTTGCCTGAGCAAATTTTAACCAAGAAGCTTAACTAAAAGATGCAAGACAACTTAGTGGATATTTCTCATGTGTTGCAGCAGCTGGAAGGAGGAGGTCTAAGATGGCCGCTTTTGAGGCCTGTTAGGGAGGTGTGTGTAAGGGAGGGCTGAACCTATGAAGCCCCTGCTGGGCCTCAGCTGTGCTGCGTCGGTTGCTGTAGCTTGTGACTTGGGGATCTTCAGAAGGTGCTGAGATGATGCCTTCTATCTCAGCCGGTCTATTTTGTATGCATGGAACTGCATTTGCTTACTGAGTGCTTAAAATAAGGGTCGTGAGTTTTGTGTGAACATCTTTGTTGAGTTGCTAAAGCGAGGTAGCGTATTCCTGCTGTTCATTAGCAACTGTGTGTTTACTCAGTTGTGATTGCAAGGCCAAAATCCCCGCTTGCACTCGTGTAGTCAACCAAAGGGAAAGGTACGGGTATACCTGTGGACAGGGCTTGACCTGACGCGTTAATTTTAAGGATCTCGACTTTTATATCCCAAATTAATTTTGTCAGATTGGCAGCTTGGAAACAGTTTTACTTATAACATCTGATAAGGACTCACTAATACAAAAAAAAAAACCCAAACAGGGATACTGGCTCAGGTCAGGCATGCAGTCCAGTAACACACAGTCCAGTATCCTGTTTCCAATGGGGGGAAACAGTGGCTGCTAAAGAAGGTGCGCCCTGCTTTCTTGGGGCTGTTGTGGTTTGTCTGGTTTTTAATACAGTGACAATTCCTTGCTGTTTTCTCTCTGATTCTGGCCCTCGGGGCTTGCTGCCTCCCTCCCCCCCCCAGGATGTAGTGGAGCTGGCGTGTTGTTCTTCATAGCGGAATCTGTACTTTGATATTTAATTTCTGATAGTTTTTTGTTCCTGAGTCTAGACAATTAAACAACTGTTTTCAAATACAGCCACCTTTCTACAGTTAATTGTAAAAATGCTGTTACGTCAGAATACTTTTGAACACTTGTTGTCTTTCACTTTTATCTAGAAATGTTTCATCATTCTTTATTTTGATGTGGTTTGTTTTCATCTTATTTCATCCCTAATCCACCAAAAGAACTTTATTGTTCCTTTTTTTTTGGAGGGGGGGTGGAATTTAATGGTGTCCTACACCGCAGGGCGAAGTCCTAGTGTCTTAAGAAGCTGCTTTAAAAAAGCTGGGTCTGTAATCCCCTGTGTGACACGATGATACTCAATGGGCATAGCAGAGCATGCGACGGGGTTTGTCCTTCGGGCCGGTTCCTTTAATCAGCTGTCCATGGCTTCTTGAGGGACTGACCTGGAGGTACCAGCAATGTCTGTCAGGTCAGCCAGCTGAAATAGCACAGCCTGCGCTCAGAGTCAGCTGCTCCTGCCCTTCCCTTTAACCCTGAGTAGTGTCCCGTGGTCCTGAAGCCTGCAGCTGGCTCCTCCTGGCCATCCCAATGCACATTCAATAGCATATAAAGTCTTTTGGGGTCACTTTGAATGAAGAAAATGTCAAGTACTCAACTGTGCTTTTTTGTTAAAATACCCCACTGACACATGGAAAACACTCTAAAATGGATCTGAGGAAACACAGTCCTTCCTTCCGTGAGTTTCAAGTGCCACAGAAGACTTGATATAGAGCTCCCTAGGTTTATACAGATCAAAGCCTGTCCTGTCCCACCGGGAGACTTCAATTCTGGAATTTGCCTTCCCAGCACATGCATGAATATGGCAGCTGAGATCTACTGAATCATTTTACACTATATGATCCTGGAAGATCTGCATTTACTCAGCCACGGGGAGCAATATAGGGGCAGTTTGTTAGCCATGATTAACTACAGAATGAGACAGGGGAAGGGGGGGGTGCATGATAAATATCCAAAGTACTGAAGAAATACTTTGAAGTATTGAAGAAAGTGAAGGCTCTAGATTATAAAAAGTAGTTGATACAAAACCTGTTGTTTAATGACCAGCTACTGCAATGTTTGCTTTGCCATTCACCAGCAGTTTGACAATAAAATTCTTCATTGCTAATGGTAATTTTGTCAAGATCCTTCTGCAGGGTTGTGGGTGGTCTGCATGCTGGAGAAAAAGAGCTCGCTCAAATCTTTGGCAGGGACTGGTTATGGTGCAATTCTGAGATCACTGTCTGAGTGAGAGCCCCCTGCAAGCTTCTACCTGTCCTCACTAGCATGAAATTATCTCACCCACCTTGTTATAAATTGCCTGCAGTAACAAGCTGAACAATGTGAAGTCAAACCTCAAATACCAAATGGTGGAACACTGTATTCCTGGAGCTGGTTATATAAAGAGTGCATGTCTGGGAGATGCATGCAGCAGTAATGTCTCTTGTGTACGTAGACTCAAGTTTTTCTTCTTTTTTTCTCAAGTTTAATTCTGATGTACAGAACGCTGTGAGCTGAAATTTATTTTCTTTTTTTTGCTGACTGCGTTGGGTTTTTTCCCAAGATTCTGAGTAGGACTTTTATTTATAGATATATTTATGTATATACAGAGATGGAGAATATTTTTTAAATTAAAAGAAATTTCTGCTTTATTTTAAGGCCACAATAATATAAAAAAACTACAACAATTTCTATTGATATCTTTGAAAATACTGCATACCTACAGCAAAAAATACTCTTCTAGGGTTCCGTTAAACTTGCTGTACTTACTTTAGGTGGACTGAAGAACAAACATAACTGGGATATGACTTATGCAGCCAGTTGCCTCATGGCTGCCTGCCTTTTCCAAAGTGCCAAAGGGAGTACAGGAGGAGCTACCTAGGTAACTTCCATATGGGCTGGCTGCTTTTGAAATCTCAGCCAGCATGCCTTCTCTTTATACAGTAATTGATTTTTCTAACTTGAAGTAGTGTCCAATCACCCATTGTATTTTTCACGATCTCTGCAGGATTGTTCTCTGGGTCATCTCTAGTACATTGTCAGGTTTGAATTCATTGTCTTGCTCTTCCTTCCTAGAAGTTATAAAAAATAGGATAAAGATATTATTTGTTTGTTCCTTTTCCTCAGTACGTGAAAGTGTGACCAGTAATCTGATCCAGTGTGCAAAGACTGAGAGATACCTGAGTCACTTTGTCTTACTGAACTCTGGACTCTCTTTTTACATAGCAACGAGTGCTTTTGTTTATTTGTTATACTCTAAGTCATGTTTCTTATCACAGTCCCTAGCTCTGCCCACATATATCACCTTAGTTTTAGTACAAGCTGGGGAATGCTAACAGTACAGCAAAGACAATTCTGAACAGCAGTGCTGTCTGAAATAGTAATGTTGGTTTATTTCATCAGGACAAGAGTTGATAAATCTATCAAACAAATTTATTATGAACAAAGTCTTAAAAAATGCAATAAACATCTAAGTTTGTATTCAGATAAAAAAAAGGCACTCTGTTTCAGAGGTGCTTGGGAGTTACAAGAGGTCACTGCACGGTGTTCAATGACCAGCCTGCTTTACTGAAAGCCCAGATAGTTGCTTATCTGAGAATCTTGGTTTATATGCCCAGAAGACACTGAAAGTAGAGTGGGCTTTTAGGTGCTTTGGGGCTTCTTCAATAAAATAATTTTCTAGCAGAATAAATTATTTTAAGGTCTGTAAAAGTCTCCTTGTAATTGTAATACTCTATAAGTTACACTTAAGGTGTTATGATGTGTAGAACCCCTATGATGTGTTTATTAGATGAGAAATTTTAAGCAGTAGAGTTGATTAGTCTGAAGTTTTGAGGGATGCAATTTCATAATTCTGCTTCTCCCTCCCATGCAATACCTGATTTGTCATCATGTGGCTGCTTATACTGGCTGGTGGGTTTTTGCTATACTAAATTCTGTGAAATTCTTTTGAGATCCTTTTTAGACTTCCCTTTGGTTTACTTCCCAGAGGGCAGGTAATGTATCAGAGCCAGCTCACTCTTTAACTAACGTCTCATAGGTAGGAAGAGAGGGAGAAAAAAAACAGGGAAGGGAGAGTACGTCACATTGGAGGAGGGGGGTAGCAATGAAAAATGAGCTTTCTTAAACAACTTGCATGCAGAGGGACAGGCTGCCAGGGCTCGGACGCTTCGTGGCGGGGGCTCAGCTCTCTTGCCTGCTGGCCACGATGCAGGAATCAGCTGGAGTCCTGAAGGAGGGCTTCCTCGTCAAACGGGTAAGTGCTCCGGTTCCCTTTCGTGCGGATCTGCTCAAACGTGGAAGCAGCCCCTGAGCAGGGACTGGATCGAGCCAGGGCTCACGGCAAGGCAGCCTGTTGGGCGCTGGGTTTGAGGGGGCTCCTGCCTGCTCCTGGGAAAGTTGGTCCGCCAGGTTTGTGCAGATGCCTGCCGGGGGAGCTGCGTGGACTGCAGGTGTTCACCACCCTCCCTCGAGTTTCCCTGCACTGGCATTTACCCAGAAGAAAATGAATTCGCTGTCAGGATTACTCAGTTAGGTATCAGAAAGCCAGTATGTCTGCACCTAGGGCACACCTCTGCAAACAGCACATTAAAAAACTACCTGGCTAATGGCTATGCGGCAGCAGTGGAAGCGGCTGTGGGAGGACAGAGAGAGGGAAGGTGTTTTTTTTACAGTCTCCTAAAATAGTTTGTGCTGCCTTTCGTGACCCAGCTGAGCAGGGCTTCCCATTTCATATGAGAGGATGGAGAACAGAGTACCCTTTTTGAATGGGGATCAGAGCAATGAAAACATAGAAACGGGTTTGAAATAACTTCTTTCTTCCACACCCCTCAAGCTGCACTGTAAGAAAGTTTTAGCCAAAATGTAGAGAAAAGAGCTGAAAGATGGTGTCACAGATTTCAGCTTTTCCAACATTTCTCCCTATAGGACCAAGTCAGTCCTAGCTGGGACACAAGAGGGCAACTTAGCAAGGGGCATAAACTGCTTTAAGTACCAAGACCCTGTCTCTATGACTAACAGGGTACTTGACTGCACACACAAAATGTGATTCAAAGGTTCAAAGCTTTGCCACGCCTTAGGAAATGCTTTTCTACAGTACGTGGCAGTGCTTCTGGTGCTAACATGAAGGTGATCCTGGTCAGGAGCTCTCCTGGCAGGGCTCCTGGCCAGCCAGCCAGTCAGCCAGCCGCTCGCCACGTGAAGCCATGCTCGATGCAGAGAAGGGCTGCACGGCCTGAGCTGTTCTTCAGCCTCCTGCCTGCAGCGAGAGCAGAGCAGTCCCAGCTCCTGCTCTCCTCTCTGGGCTACGGTTGTATCTTGTGGTGCTTAAGCAACTACTGAATTCAGGATGGGGAGCCAAGGCACCAAGTATGTGAGAGGATTAGGTTATCGGCAGCACACGGAGCTGTAACTGCCAGCAGTCCGTACAACATCACCAAGATACACAGTTTGATAGGAAGGAGACCACAAAGAAGATGACTAAAGGAAACAGGGAGAAGGGAACAAGGGTTCCAGAGAAAAAAAATTGAGGAAGGAGTGGGATCAGGTAAGAAAACAGAGCTTTCCTAAGAGGAGAGCAGAGGCAAGGAGATGATCTAAGTGCATTATAAATGAATTATGTATTGTAATGTATTATAAATGAAAAGTAAATGTGTGGAAGTCAGTCAGGTAAAGATGAAGAAAAAAAGATAAGGCAACCTCCTGAAAAAGAGGAAATCTCCAAGAAGGAAAGAAAAGACCCATAGCAAAGAACATACTCTCAGGAAAAATGGCTAAGGAACTTTACAACAGGTGAAAAAACCACTGAAGAAGGCAAAGGGAAGGAGAGAACAAACTCAAGTTAGATAAATTGTATTTAGTATAGACTGGGAGACATTCAATCTAAAGTGCCCTGGATTATAGAGACTCATTACCGCACCTTTTCTTGGAAATTGCTGGTTTTCCCCTTTACTCATAGAGAATTAATGAGCTTTGATTCTTGCCACAACTGGACTTTGCATGTTCCTTTCTTCTAGCTATGCCCACGCTCTCCCAGGTGTCAGAACTTCTCTACCCAGTGCTTCGCCTGTTGGCTGTAATGCTCCATCGCCTGTAGAAATGCAAGTCAGCTCCCCGCCCTGCAAAGCTGGTCCTGATGCTGTCAGGATGGAGCCTGTCAGTGCCAGCCCTCGCTGGGTTTGCTCTCCTGTACAGCTGGACTAAAGAGAGCTGGGGACTGTTTACAGAGGGGAAAAAAGAGGTTTTGTCTGTGTTCTGGTATAAGCCAGGAGGCATTCGACAGCAGCCTGCATTCTGTCTTTTGCCATTAAAAAGCCTATTTCCTTTCCAGGAAAAAGCAGCACAGGGAATGTTTTAGCCCAGGAGACTGGAGACAGGTAGGATAGAAATAAACCACTCATTAGCAGTAAGAGGGAATGTAAAGAAAAGCCAATTCACCCAGCAAAGCACTTTCAAAACCACTTGGCACCTACAGCCACATCAAAATGACAAAGGACAAAACACATACAACACCACTCAGGGTGACTGGGGAGGAGTTTGTCTCCGAGAGCCTTCACACGTTTTGGATTTAGTCCTGTTCCTGCCTGGTGCCATCAGCGGGGGGGTGTGCACCTAAATGATGGCCTTTTGAGATAATTCGTGTGAGCTTTTGCAACAAACAATTCTTGCCAGCAAAGATATCCTTGCTGGAGAAAGAGTAAAGCATGTTTCTATTGCTCCATGATTTTATAGTGATGGAGCTGTGCTATTTTGTGACTGAAAATGTGTATTTCAGGGAGAACATGATGACTTCTTGTGTATCTTTTCATACAGTTTCTTATTAGTTTATGGTATTTTCACACAAACCCCCAAAAGAAAATACGGTCATTTCTCAGTGCTGGTATTAAAGTTAGCTATGTGGATTTCTTCCCCTCTAGGGACATATCGTTCGTAACTGGAAAGTAAGATGGTTCGTTCTGCTTCAGGATAAGCTGCTGTATTACAAAATTGAAGGAGGCAAGAAGGAGCCTTCTCCAAAGGGCAGGATCCTTTTGGATGGCTGCACTATTACTTGTCCATGCCTGGAATATGAGAACAGACCGGTATGACTGGAAAAATGTATCCCTTCTCAATGACATTCACTTCCTAACTTCTCCCTAGTATCTTCCTCTCCTCCTGACTTTTTTGATTACTGCAACCATATCGCTGGGGTATTTCCAGAATTAGGCCCCGCCAAAAGCAAGCTGCCATTAGCAACGTAACCAGGACAAGCAAAGAACTCCCTCATTGTGTCTTTGCTGTTCCCTGTGCCCAAATTTGAGTCACAGCCATTAACAAAAAAAAAAAAAAACACCAAAACCACCCCCACACACACAGTGGCAAGAATAAATGCAAGTGCATCAGCCCAGCTGTGTGTGGAGGGAGGACATGGACAGCTCAATAAAATCTGAGGAGGATGGGAAAAAAGGGAAACTTATCATCTGTGGTAGTTGCCTTAAACCATGGCTGTTTCCCTGGGGTGCTCCTGGGCAGCCAAGTCAGACTCCTTTTTCCTTTGCCAATGGGACATTGCTGCTGTGGAAAGTTTCAAGCAAGAGGGCTCTGGAAGGGAAAGAGCCTCCTGCGCTTCTCCGCTCACCCGTGGGTAGCGGCAATGCAGACTTCCCCTGAGTGGGGCCAGAAAGGAAGTTACTCTGGAAGTTGCTGACTGTTTCAGTCCAGTGAGAGTGTGTAGTTGTTCAGAAACTAGAGATCTAGATGTGAAAATCTCCATAGTCAGCAGCACACTCCTATGTAATCCAGTATCTGGGTGGTCTACTCTCTTTGAAGTACCACAAGGTCCATGCATGCAAACCATGCTTGTAACTGAAACCCCAGGGATTTGAGGTGGGGGGAAGCAAAAAAACCCCAGAGTTATGCCCAGCATTCTTCTGGCCAAGAATTGCTCTGCACTGCTCAGGTGGGATGCCATATCAGACTTCCTTTTGTCACTTGGGCCAGTGGTTAAAGATGCAAAATGCAAGTGGAGGACAATAGCTAAATGTTGTTGTTGCTTTGCACTTCTTTCTCCACAGCTACTCATCAAACTAAAGACAAAAACCAATACAGACTATTTCCTTGAATGTTGCTCCAGGGAAGAGCGAGACTCTTGGGCTTTGGACATCACTGGAGCTATTCATGCTGGTCACCCAGTACAAGTACAAGAGCTTCACAGGATGAAGAACTCTTTCAAACTGCTAGAGAATATCAGCCTCCAGTAAGTGTGTATGGTTTCTCCTCCTGCTATTGCTGTAGTTTGCAAAGCACCTGAGCTGATGTGTGTGGAGGGTTAAGGGAAGCTCCTCTCTGCACAGATCTGCTCCTGTGTAGCCAGGAGCCTCTAAACTGGCTGCTCTGCTCTAGGTTTGCAGATACTTTTGCCAGGGCATGGGAATGTGCTTTTTCTTGACCATCATTTTTTAGGAGTTCTGCATGGGCACCTCACTGCTGGCTTGAAGACCTTCCTAGTCAGCTGCAAAGGTTCTCAATGGGGAGATGAATTACCTCAGAAGATGTGATGTCAGGAAAAGACCGGGCGATGACATTGTTTATGCCGTGTTGGTGAGCTTTCAAAGCTGGTAGCTAGAATCCAGACTAGGATTTTTAGGGTGCATCATGTTAAACAAGAGGAAACAGAGAACTGATTAAGAAATAGGAAAATGGCATTAATTTGGTTTGTGTTGAGAAGGTAAATGGAAGCTGACTACAGCTCAGTTTGAAGTGCTTTAAATTGAAAGATACTCTGTGAGGCAGCTTGTTTAGTGCTGCTATTGGGAGAATAAAGTTTTCCTATACCGTACTTAGGACAAAACTTCTGGAGGGGTATCTAGGCTGTTTCCCATCTTTATGTTGGTAATCATGAGGATATCCCAGGCACTGACGGAAGTATGTGGCAATTTCTGCCTGTCTTTCTATTCTACTAACATTGTCCTGTGCTCTCTTTTACAGCCACATAGTGGAGAGGATGTGTGACAGCAGTACTGGAATTAAGCTGACCCGCAACTTGGAGCAAGGCAACAGATACAAAGAGACCTTCACAGGTATACCTACTGCAGGCAAAGAGCTTCCTCGCATCTGACACGCCATGTTGCAGAGGCAAGGGAGCTACTGTCCTGCCTTCATGGTGGGATCAGTTGGGGCCCAGTGGAAAGTAGTGGTGCAGCCAAGCTCTCCACCACCTTTCTCTCTTGCTCTTTGGATATATGGAAGCACATGTAGGACCCCACACTTTTGGTCAGCCTTGCACTTCATTGACAGTATTTGTGGTGGTGTCAAAATGTTTCGGCAAATGATGACCTGCGTAGCAGGAGACCATCTGTCTCGCCTTGGAAGAACATGTTGTCTTGGTACGAGAGCTGCCTTTCTCCCCGTAGGTTCTGCCCTGGTGGACTGGCTCATCTCCAATAGCTTTGCTGTGTCACGATTCGAGGCCGTCACCTTGGCATCCATGCTGATGGAGGAGAACTTCATCAAGCCCGTGGGGGCCCGCAGCACTGAGGCCACACGCTACAGCGACCTGTCTGAGCAGTTCCTCGACGACTCCACCGCACTGTACATGTTTGTAAGTGACACAGCTGCCAAGAGACACCTCCTCTGCCCCTCATCACACGCTTGGTTTGGGGCAGTGGTAAAGGGGACGCGCACAGCGTGCAACCAGAGGTGAAACATGCAGGCTATGAAAGCAAACATAGAAGGAGCAGCTCTAGGCTTTTAGGAGTACTAACATTTGCACTTTTGCTGCAGACAAACAGCTACATGGATATGGCCGGATCTACAAATTACCTAATTAGGCATGAAAAGGGGTGTGTCCCTTGAGCGTAGTGCTGTGTCTGCATTTAACGGAGGCCGTGCTGTAGTTACGCGAAAACTCAAGGCCACTGTGCGTATGTAGGCTTTACAGCTGTAATTTGTTGCTTGTAAATCTTGGACATACAAAGCTGAGCAGCAGCGCTGCAGAATAGAATTGGCTTGGGAAATATGAGCTAAAAACAGCTCAAGGAAAATAAAATGCAGAACTTTGTACTTGAAAGTGTGTTTAGGTTAAAAAGAAAAGTGGAATCATATTTTCCCTATTTGCAGGCTGAGAGCAGTAAGAAAAAGAGCAGTTCCAAGGAAGAGCTACAATTTAACATCTCTGAATTAAGAGGCACAATTGTGAAGCAAGGATTCTTAGTGAAACAGGTAAATACAGTCTTTTAACCTTCACTGGGAAACAGGAAAAATGACAACTCTTAGGGCTTCCTAGAGAAGATTTATATGAGCAGGGCCAGCAGAGCTAACGTGCCTGTCAGTACTACTATCAGGGATCGTGTGGTGAAGAATATCGAGTTATAAAGAAGAAGTGAGCTATGGAACTTGCTGCTCAGGCAGGATTAATTGGATATTCTGTATATATTGAGTGTACACTGAAAGGTATAAAATAGTATCAAAAGCAAAAGTCCCACACAAACTCCAAATCCCACCAGGGGTGTTACATTCACTTCCAAGCAGATCCACTGTTCCTCTGGTTTAACCTATCCCATCCAGGTTGTGTGAGCAGCTATGATGTTCTGCTGGCCACGGACAAATTTCAAAGCCGAGTAGATTGATTTTTGCATGAAGTGGACATTTACCTGTGGACAGTCACTCATGTACACGTGGATGCTGTGCTGGTGGTGAGACCTGTTTTCTTTGGGCACAGTTACCTGTCGGCAGTAATTGTTTACAGGATTCCACCCTTAATCTGCAAGATTTAGTTTCTGGCCCTTGCTACGAACAAGATGAGGATCAATCACGCTGTTTCAAAGCATAATGCAGCCACCTGCAGACAGAAGGAACCCTATCTGCACCGCGTGGCCCGTTTCTACTCTGGAGCTTTGTACCCTGAGCTGTGATTTTAGTGTTGTGCAAACTGGATCATCAGATGCTCCCCAACCCTCCTTCCTTCCAGCTGCCAGGGTGCAGCGAGGGTTGGCGGACCACTGGGTGCCAGGAGCTGTTGGGGGATCCCTATGGGGCTGGCAGGGCAGCCCCCTCATCACCACAGCACGTGAGAGCTGCCCAGGAGCCTCATCCCATGGCCAGCAGCAGTGAGGGGCAGCCCCCAGCGGCCCCAGCCCGAGGCTGGCCCTGACCCCCAGCACCAAACCTCCAGGAGGGGGGATGATGCTCTCGGGGCCTGGCACGGGCTTGCGGTGCTGTTCTGCACTGTCAGCAGCTGAGGGGACTGGGGCGAAAGAGTGAAGAGCTGCAGAAGGACCTGACATAATCCCTCAGAGCATGCACAGCACGGGGTTTTAATCTAAGACCTATATTTAATCTGAAATTAAGAACAGGAATCAGTGATATAATCACTCGGTCCTGTCACTCTGCTTTCTTGGTTCTCAGCACAAGGAAGGGAGAGAGGAAGGATTATCAATGTATGAAGAAAGATGTTAAACAGAAAATCCTGGGAGTTACCAAGACGTCAGAAAAGATTTTTCTCTATTGGCTCCAAACCCTCTTTTTTTCAGTACCTGTTTAGATCTCCCCTACAGCCTGCAGGAAAATGGCCATTTCAGGAGATATTTACTGGTGGTAACTTTAGTTATTCTGTTTTGCAGGGCCACAAGAGGAAAAACTGGAAGGTGAGGAGGTTTGTTTTGAGAGCTGATCCTGCTTTTTTGCACTACTATGACCCCACTAAGGTATGTGAGTGCGGAGTTACTACCCCCAGAAATCCTCTTACAGACCTAAACATTATAATGAAAATACAATTATGCTGTAAATACTTCTCTCACCCAAATTTCCTTTCAGGTTCCTCTACCCATTTCCTGGGGAATAAGACCTCTCTTGCCTTACCCTGGGAGGTTGTCCCTTGCAGGGATTTTCTGTCCCTGCACCTTCCCTCCTGTCTTTTCCGCAGTGAGATTCCTTTTCCTTAGCCGAGGGGCAGAAGTCTTCTTGGGACTGGTCTTTTGCTGTACCCACACAGTCTGGGACCATGGTCCTGCAGGGATTCTTCCCGCGCTGTGATCTTCCTGGGCTGACATCCCACCACTTGAGGGTCATAATGCTATGGGGATTTTTTACATTCTTATTCCAACATCGAATAGGGTTTCCTTGATGCCAAAGTATTTATAGGAATTTCTGCTACTCAGTTTTAAACTTGCTCAGGGAATAGTAAAATTTATCTTCATGGATATAATAATCAATTTGAGCAACCCAGAATGGCATGTGGATCCATCAGCCCTAGATGTATAGGGTACCACAAAGCCCAACAGGTTGCTAAAAGAACATGTACAGAAATGCTTTATGTGACTTTTAAAGAAAACACAAACAACATAACAGTGAAAAGAGCTTATGGAGCTGGTTCATTTTTTGTTGTCTGTTTCTTTGTGGTTTTTTTTTGTGCTGCAACTCACCCTTGCAATGCTATAAACTCAAAGTGCAGAACCTGTAGATCAGACAAGAGAACCAGCCTACTAGTGGAAAGAGTCAAATTTTTCCCATACAGTCTCAGTGAAAAGCAGCAAGTGAAAAACTTGCAGAAATATATATATTTTTTTAATATGGGTTGTTACTGATAAGACTATACATAAGTTTGAAATGTGATTGTTAGCCTACCCTTGTGCTTTTAATTGATCTCCACCATTCCCAGCTACATCAGAGAAACATCTGAGACTGAAACAACATAGTAATTCATTTAATTACTTGTCCTAGTTGACTTCTCTTGTGACATGGATGTTTTATATCTGGAAAGACTGGTATTACATCTCCACCTTCATAAAAATAATTGATGTGCTCTTGGAAATTATTCTAATGATGATATTTTCCAGATAAGCCTCATTTCCTTTTTCTTTGCAGGAAGAAAACAGGCCAGTAGGTGGATTTTCTCTTCGTGGCTGTCTTGTCTCAGCTCTGGAGGACAATGGTGTCCCAGCAGGTAAGCACGAGCCTCTAAACTTTCATACATACATATTTATGCCATAGCAATACAGTCTTTGGGTGTGGGTTTGTGTGCACGGCTGTCTGTGTGCACAAGTGGGCTGGTCTTTCCTCTCCCCTTGCAAGCAAGGGAAGGGGCATATCATAAAAAAAAACCATACTGCTGGGCTGCCCATACCAGAGGGGATTTTTTTAGTGGTATTTCCACTTATCTTGGGTGTTCCCCTTTTTATGGGCTTTTCTCAGTCAGATGACCTCTGAGACAGTCCTAAGACACTGTTTAATATTCCAGAGTTAACAGACAAAGAGGAAATGCCTTCTTTTTGGATTTTGTTTAACTCAAAGTCTTGAGGCATCCCCTGATGCCATCCCTCTTGTGTGTGTCCTCTCTGCTTATGCTATTACCTTTTCCTTTTTGATCTGCTAGAACCCAAATGTAGGGGAGACACAAAGACAGCAATACAAAAACCAGTTCTGCTAGTGAATATGCTTAGCTTAGGCATTTGTCTAGAACCTCAGCCACACAGATAAGCGTTTCTGCTGTTAAAGCAATTTATTTTTAAACAGTAAGCACAACGTGTGGATCTCAAATAGGGAGCATCTTTCCAAAGACAAAAGACAGGGTCTGAAAAAGATATGGTCCAGGGTTGGGTGTCGTGATGAACACAACAGCTCCTTGCTAAGAGAAAGCCAAAGGTGGGCAGGAGCAAATCAAATCTACCACTCAAACTGGTAGGGTGTTCATCCCTGCATTGTATAACTCAGGTAGGATTCTCTATCTAAACAGTGGCTATTTTATATATGATGCATAGTACACAGTAGTTCATACACCCTATGTGAGGGATGTCTGTCCTATATCTTTATTTTGCAGAAGGGAAATCAAAGACACAAGATCTTTACATGTCTTATCCATAATGAAATGGAAAAGTCTGATACCCTAATTCACTAAATTAAAATTCTTCCCTATGAAGCTTCATATCTGCCACAAAGCACTTCTCTGTGCACCTTCCTAATTTGTCATATTTTTTTTTCTTTGCAGGAGTGAAGGGCAATGTGCAAGGCAACCTCTTCAAAATCATCACCAAAGATGACATTCATTATTATATTCAGGCCAGCTCCAAGGCAGAGCGAGCACAGTGGATTGAGGCAATCAAACCACTGACATGAGTAAGGTGGACTCCAAGCCAAATGACAAGTCACATTTGTGAGAAAGTTTCCTGCTCTCATTGTCTGGGAGTGTTGTTTTTCCCTTAGATAGTCTCTTTTTGTTATTTGTATTGCCATAGCACCTAGCAATTCCTAGCAGACCAGCATCCTAGGTGCCCAGGAGTCATGTAGATCCAGAATAATTCCCCACCAACAACGACCTAACCAAGAGAAAAAAGACAACAGGTGGATACAGACAAATGGGGCTTTACAAAGAAACAATGAGATATAATATTCCAAGATGGAAAAAAAGAATTCTTTCGTACAAGTATTCAGTCTATATCTGACAGATCCAGGTTGTGCTTTATCCTAAAGCAGAAATATCTTGCTCCTTTCCCCTTTATAAAGGGGCTCATAAACTTAATTAGTTAAGACTGGCTGAATCAAAGTCATGAAAGGTCCTGGTGTCTGAGGCTGCGTTTCTTGGTATACCACAAGAGTCTTGTGCTAAGCCACAACCCAGCTGCCAGGAAAATCACTATTGCAAGACAAACCAGGGGTCTGTCTGTCCGTCTGCTCTACCATTTGATTCTCTGTTAGGCTGGAAAAGACCAAAGGATCGTCCTCTCCAGTATACAGATTATTCTTGTGCTGGTAATGGCCCATAGCAGTACAGGATCCTGAGTATCAAATCAGACCAGCAGCAGTTATTCCAGACAATTGCTGGTGCTGAATATACTGGAAGAAATCACTCAGCCATAAAAGCAGACATTTCCTCCTGATTATCACCATTAAGTCCATTTATGTGGAGTACCATTGGGACTGAGAACTCTTAACAGCAGTTCTGACTATTGCTTTTTCTATTTTAAGCCATTACATTTTCCACTATTTGCCTAGTAAACTTGACTTTGATGTCATTACATATAAAAAAAAAAATGCAGTGCATTTCAATCTCCTGTGCTCTTTAGACACAATTTTTCTCAGAGGGCAGTTTGAGTATATGAAAATAATGGTTTCATACACTGTAAATTTAGATTTATACAGAAACTGAGACATTCTCCACAACACCAGAGGATAGGATAGAATGTATGAGATGATTAAAACACCAGTCCAGCCTGCTGATATACTATTTTAATAAAATTCCTTGTGTTATCTGAGTACCTGTATCTGACAGCCAGACTCTGCAGAGCCTCCAAAAGCCCTCTGAAGACAGCATCTTATATATCTTCCCTGAAGTCACAGAGGAATTTGATAGCTCTCTACCCACAGAACCACCTCCTTGCAGATTTTTTTGTTCTCTGAGTTATGTACTGAAAAAAAAGTCTCTTCATCTGGAGACTTTCCCCTTCATCTTGCGTTATAACCAACCAGACAGAGCCAAAGGCAGCAGCTATGATATATGCTTATATATGTATTAGAATAGCCATGTATTTAGGACTTTTTTTGTAAATCTACAGCAATGAAATAACAGCACAACACTCACATGCATTCAAATATTTAATAGAGCTGGTAAAGAAGTTTGCCAGCAAAGATGCAGTTTTAATTAGATACAAAAATGGGCAATGCAGTTTCAGCTACAGATACCATTTCCTAGGGCTGGTCCAGAGAAGACTGTGAAGTCCACAGCTGTTGAAACCTTTCAATTCACGAGAACGCTACCTGCAAGAGAGAGGGATGCTCGTAAGGCATTTATTGTTCTGTACTGGGAAGCACAGATGGCATTGTGCTGATTGAGCAGAGCTTCCAGGAAAAGCAATTCTCTCCTGATAACATGAGCCTTGCTGGGGCCCACCAGACTCCCTTATTCACTTGTAAGAAAATCTCCTGCTTCTCTTTTCTCAGTCCCACCACCTGCATACTGCCCAGTTCTAGTCACAAGGGTAACAGCCACCCCACCATAGAGGACTGAGCTCCAGCAGCTGGCATGCCTGAGGTGTTAGGGGACCATGAGGATGTGAGATACTGCATAGCATCATAAATCTTGCAGTTTGGGAGGCCAAAAGAGTATCTCAGTAAAGGCTCTCTGATTTACCTGGAGCAGCCATAGCTCTGCGATTGCTGAGTGTGTATGAGGAAAAAAAGGTGTATATTTTAAACACATCAGCAAATTAAAAAGATACAGTTCCCACTCTCCAGAACCAGCCAGGGGAAAATGATAAAACATTTCTCAGACAGGAGAAAGTACATTTGCCTCTGTCCTGTGGTGCCATTGTGGCCTCCTTTTTTTCAAGCCACTTTGGTAAGCTTGATGTCCCCTGAGATCTGCAAAGCTTTCACCAAGTTCAGGGGCTGAATGCGGTGAGTGAAGTCACAGAGCTGCCGTCCATCAAGCAAGACTCGTATTTGCTGGTGTTCACATAAGAGCTCCATCTGCAATGGAAAAGGACAGGGGAGGGTGTTAGAGATCAGCAGCAGAGTTGATTTCACCAGCATGGACTTAGAACCCCATGTGATGGTGATAGTGAAGCACAAAGTCTACCAGTTCTTCTGAAATGCCCCTAACAAATAACCTACCCTTTGCTGAGATGATACTATAAAGCTCCTTATAGTGAGTCCTCTCACTAAGACTAGAGAAAGGAATGGATCTCTCCCACTGGGGCTTGAACTGTTGCTCTCTGTGCCACACTAGACTAGTTAACCTGGCAATGTCAATAGTTAGCTGTTTGTGGTCATATATGTAGCTTTCAGCCTTTTTCCCCTCCTTTTCTCCACCCTATTCATAGTAACCCAAAAATTACCTTAAACGTGTCGCCTGCTGTAAATGGGAAGTAGGGAATAGTCTTCTCTTCTCTTCCCCATTTCCCAGCAATTCGTGCATTTCGGGTGATGGATTTGTCACTAAAGTTAACTGTAAATAACAGCCCAACATCTTTGTTTGCATCCACTGGATCACAGAGCAGAGTCACTGAAAAGCTGAAAAAACAATTAAATGACTGGGACTTTCAGAAATGTGACAGGACATGGTGAACACGGCAGATGCCTATAAAGACGACAGACAGCCATTGATTCCTTGTTAGACTGAAACACGGGACTTCTACAGGCTTAGAAGCTACAGAAAGGGATGAGAACAGGCTTGTCTTTGTTTCTCCTCCAGTTTCCAGTAGGATGCTAGTGACTTCTGATGTTGCTTTCCCTCTCTTGTGACTGAAATCAAACCAACATTTGTGCATGAGCCAATTCTAATTTGTGTCCTAAAAAAGGTTATGGCAAAATCTTCACCAGTGGAAGCACTGGAGTTGATCACTGTAGATGCAAAGAAGTGTAATGGTAAGCTTAGTTGCTGTCACCCAGGTTAAACACAGCAATGAACCTGCACCTCCTGTGCCAAAGCCACTGATTTTTAAATGGTGTTGATTCCAGCCTGCAGCAGACAACCAAGATGCAGGTTCAGAATTCCACCTCTTCTTGGAGGAGAAATGCCACTTGCGTGCCCCCTCTGGTTCACATTAGATAAGGGCAAGGAGTAGAAAATCCTGACAGGGCAGTCAGAAAGGCTGAACAGTGAATTCTTTCTTGCCCTTTTTATCTTGGTCTAAGAGCAGGAAAATTAAAGCAAGCCGTAAGTTATGAATCTGTTTGACTTTCTTCCTCCAAAGAGCACAGACCCTCAAGAAATCTTTTGAATTTAGAAGACAGGTAGGAGCATGTATGACAGGGTGAAGCCCCCCCCAGCCCCTTCACCTACCTCTTGGGGTTGGAGTGTACCATTCCTATGACCGTGAGTTTCATGGCTGGTCTCAGGCCACCTTTGATTTCACCAACATACTGCTCCACCTGCAGGGAACAGTGAAAATGTGCTGCAGTAGGTCATGCTGCGGGTAAACCAGTTTTAACAGCTGCTTTGGTCACCTCATATAACTTGATTTTATTTTTACGTGTACAAAAGAACTTAAAAATACTTCCAGCCTAAAGTACTTCCTGCACATTTGATACAAATTCTGTTGGTGCTGGTATCTGAGGCGAGCGAGAGGGCCACCATAACCAAATGACTGGTAACGAGGTGTCGGCTGCCTGACAGGACTGCCGGCTCCGGTGGGCAGTTTCTGACCCAAACCGCCGTCAGTAAGATGAGTGGCCGCTGTCGGTGCTCTCCCTGACAGATATGTGTGACTGATGACCCTGACGGCATGCCTCAGGTGGCTCTGGGAACAGCCACCACTGACTTCAGGTGACTGACACCAGTCCCCAAGACCAGAGCAGGTCCTGCAAGCGCCGCGGTGACCCACACATCTCGCGAGTGACAGGACCCAGGCAGCTGGGTCCGAGCCAGTGACGGCTGCGATGGTCTAACGACACAACAGATCTGGGTGCAGCGCTCCATGCAGCAGATCAAAAGCTCTGTGGCAGCATGATGCAGAGCGCAGACTCCATGTGAACTTACTCTGCCAGCTCAAAGTCATTAACAGATTTCGGCAGGCTAACTTGACACCAGGAGGCTTTACACCGAGCCAGGTAGCCTCTGTCCTCCGCCATAAGAGCACAAAGCTAGCGTAGATGCTGCCCCGCCATTGCACGTTGACAGAAACGCAACCGTGTTTTCACAGCTGATCCCAGTCACGCTTGTCCCCATCACTTTTTCAAAGCCAGATAATGGCTTCTCGGTGGATCTACTTTTGTCCCCACAGAGACCTGTAGTTGCAAACTCCACCCAAAGATCAGAGCTACATTTACTTGCTACAGGTAATTCTCTGACAGTTTTGACACTCAGTGGAGAAACTAATACAGGCAATAGTTGACATGGAAAAATAAGAGAGAGAGCTTGGAAACAAGCGATAGGGACATTTTGAGACTTCAGTTTCAGAAATGGCTTTAAAATGTAAATGCCAGAGTACCACAGCGTAGCATGTAATCGCTCCCTGTGCAGATTCACTTAGTAAGAAGCTGCCATAAACCACAAAGTGTTATTAGCAATTTGCGTAACACTGATAATATTCCAAGGCAATGCACAGCAGACCCTATTTTAGATAAAAGCATTTTATCGTTCCAGTGTTCCAAGGTAAAAATGCAGACATTTTTTGCTAGATGACCTGCACAATATATGTATGATTTAGTATTTTGACTATGAGAAGCACTACATCAGCATGGAAACCCACAGACTTCTGTTGACAGCAAATGAGCTTCCATTCAAGTGTAAGTTGCTATGGCTATTTCATACGTATTTCTAAATTTTGGAAAATATAACCAATGTTAGCTTTTTAAATTATTGAATGCCAGCTTGCTTAATGGAAACACAAATTCAAGATGAAAAATGTTTTGCTTATACTCCATTTCCTAATTTCAATATACTAGTTATATTTTCTGCTAAGATGACCTTACACAATTTATTTTCCCACCTTGATATTTACATCCATCCACCTTTACAGCTTCACAGATATATTAATGAACCTCTAATTCCTAACAAAGCCGATGTTGGATGAAATTAATTTAAAAGTACCTTAAAAAATGACAGCACTACTGCTGGTTGATAATAATGTCCATTTACCCTTGCAGAAGTGGGCAGGTGACTCGAGTAGGTATGTTTTGAACTTTGTAACAACAGAAAAGCGCCAACCGCCTGAGATGTCTTATGTGAGGGAGCAGCTCCTCAGGTAAGTAGTCTGACTGTAAGGAGATACTTTAAACTGGATAAAGCAGTTAGAGAGTGGATAATAAGCATAAAAGATCCCAGGCTAAATGAACTTCATCCTCATAGGTCCTGTGTCCCACTAAAGCTCATTCCTTGCCTACACAAGAGACAGATACAAAATAATATCCCAAATTGAAAGTCCACGTTGAGAAATTGCTTGCACAGAGCTGCACCGTGGTAAGCACCATCATTAAAGGCACAAGGAATCAGAACTGAACAGATCAAACGACGACCACATGGTTTCAACATTTACAGCTCGTCCAGCATGGCTGAAGTTCAGAGGTATGACTACCCACGCACCGTTTCTCTGCCGACATTGAGTTGACAGGACAGGTGAGCGCTCAGGATGCCGTAGGAGGTAATGGTACAAATTCCTGCAGCATCTTATGTGGCTCATCGGTGGGTCCCAGCACGTTCACACAGACATAGCCCCCTTCCCGTATTTTCCATTCAGGAGCCCTGGGGACTCACTCGGTCACTTACTTTGGGACACCTCTCCTCTGTCATCACCGCTCTGCCCTCTTACACTTGCCTCCACCGCAGCAGTCCTCGGAAGAGTTTTTGTTTTGTGTGTTAGGACAAAAGCAAACAAAAAGCCCGGAATAAAGGGAGGATGTTCGGGGGGGGCTTATCTCTGCCAAACACCGGCTGGACACCACCCAGCCGAGCAGCTGAGTCACGGCCCTCTGCGCCTCGTCCCACTGGGGGAAGCTTACGACAGTAACACGGCCGGTGTGGGTGCGAGGGCAGGGCGACTGCAAGGGTGGGCAGGCCCCCGCTGCCCCGCTCAGGACTGCCTGGCAAGCCGGTGCCTGTAGCTGTGTTTGTATCTATACCGACACATTTTTATGGAAGTGTTTGAAATTATGTCTGTGCATAACACACTGTATCTGCACGTGCCACAGATATAAATAACATGTCACTTATTTTTTTTATGCCGTTTCTGTCCTCTCTCAAAGGGGTAAATATATATAGAACTTAGATCCCTATACAGACCTACATATATAGAGTGAGGTATGCATATAGGGTTATACACATATACAAGGGTAAACACACACACACACGTATGTATATATCCCTATATGATACCCCTCTCTCTCTACGTGTGTTTGTAGCTGTATATAATATACGTCCATACAGCCTCCCCCCGAGAGCCGGCGCACAGACCCCCCCGCCCTACTCCCGCTCACGGCGCCCGCCGGTGCCGGGGCCAGCGGCACGCCGCGGAAAAGGGCTGCAGGGGGGCGGTCCCACTGCGCGCCAGGGGGCGGAGCTTCGGGCGGAAGCCAATCAGAACCACGAGAGGCCCGAGCACGGGGCGGAGCTGGCGTGCGGTAGGAGGAGGCCGCGGGGCGTGCCGGTGGGCGGAGACGGGCGTGGCTAGCGGGGAGGGCGGGGCTTGCGCTGCCGGGGTTCCCGAGGCGGTGTCAGGCGCCCCAGAGGAAAATGGCGGTTTATTTACATTCTGCTCCAGCTCGGCCAATGGGCGGGCGTCTGCCCGCGTGCCCGCCCGGCGGCGCGGTCAGCTGAGGCGGCGCCCAAGATGGCGGCGGCGAGGACTGGCGTTGCCGGGGCGGTGCAGTAGAGCTCAGCGCCGCCGGGCTGGCCGCCTCCTGCCCCGTCAGGTAACGCGGACCGCGCCAGGAC